AATTAAATGGTTAAATATTAGAAAAAAAAAAGAAGATGAACTTAAAGGGCAGGTTATATGTCTATTTGAAAGTTGTTTTTTTTTTTTTTTCGTTCGACAACCTTCTTTACAGATCGTCTTTATCAACAGCCTCTCGTCAAAGCTTTCCCATAACTCCAACAGTCTTTGTCAATCTTTTGTGTCAATAAATCTGGAATCGTTTAATCTGAACTCAAAAAAATTGCAACAACTTAAACATCACAGACAACGGTTCACAACTTAGCCGTCTTACAATTTTCCAACATATTGACCAACCAACTAAACCATAAAAAAATCTATTCAATCGCAGACAAACAATTCCGTCATTCCTCTTCCTTTTACCAAATCTGTATGCAGAAAGACGTAAAACAAGACAATTATTTATTGCAGCTATAACAGTGCTGTTACAACGTTTTGTAGACAGGGTCAAACAACAAAAAAAAAAAAGAAAATCTAAAGCTGAATACAGAAAATTTATTCACTGAGCTAAAAACCTATAGGTTTCCTAGCAATTTTTTCAAAAATGTTTGGTGAAATGTGACAAATAAACTGAGCAATTTAGCAGGCAACGAACTGTGGAGAAAATTGCTAAATGATAGAATCTTTAGAAATGACTACAGGTTGAGCATTAGTAACGGCGACTATTGTAGCCGTGCAGAGTGATGGCTTTTGTTGATAGCACTGATAATGTAAAAGCGAGAAAAGACAACAATGATCAAAATTCTCGATAATATTGCAGTGTTTTAAACATTGGCAACCTTTTTTACTATCATCACACGTTTATAGCTAAAAAAAAGAAAAAAAGCACGAAAAGATTTAGTTATTTTAATTCATAATTGTTCAAAAAAAAATTAGGAAAAGTAATCTTTTCTTAATTGATACGATTACTGGTTGAAAGTCATGCGAAATAAAGAAGTACAAAAATTATGTTCCTTTTTCACTTATATTTGTAAATGATCAATTTTTTTTAGTATCTTTATCAGATCACAATAGAATACAGTTGTCACTTGCAAACAACATTCTGCAAATATATCAACCAAACTACATCGATCTATGGAACCCTAACAGACAATTTTTGAGCAGTCAATTTGGTTTTCTAAAGCTTAGCAGCTGTTTGTTTTCCGGTTCTTTTTGTCTAGAAAGATTTCTAGGAAGTTCTGTAGAAAATTAGAAGTCACCGATGAGTGCATATCAAAAATGTTTTAATTCAATATGTAATCAATCATTAATGCCTCTTCAAAAAAAAGAAAAACTTTCTCAGATATTTACAGCAAAAAATCATCATTTATCTTTTAAAATAGGCAAAAAAAAGGTGAAAATGTGCTAGAATAGCTGAAAAATAAATTAATTTTTTTCACTCAAGTTTTTTATCATTTTGTATTGACGTTGAAATTCCGTTGAAGAACCGCCGCTTAACGGTAACAGTGATGACAGTGGTGCCAAAGCGATGGCAATTAAATTTGGCCGGAAACAGTTCACATAAACGTCAATTAATGTTGATTTAGATTTGAAGAAAAAAAGTTTTTTTT